AAAGTTTTTCCATAGTGTTTTTTTTTTGTTAGGTTTGTTCATGTATTTAGGAGCCAGATGCCATGTTTTTCCTTAAGGACCAAGGGAGTTGTGCGTTTTTTCAGTGAGACTACTTTGCCTCTGAAGGCACAAAAAGTCATTTTTGAACAAGCACATGTCAGGATGTTAGTTATGCAAACAAAAAAATTATTTTAAATTTTCTTGTTAAGGTGATGATACCTTTGTTGGGATTTGGCTCTTTAGTTTCCAACCTCTAATTTTGTGGAGACATTGTTTCACCTTTCACACTCAATTGTTCCTGAACAACATATAACTTTGAAAAGTTCTGTTATATGCAGGTCTTAAAATTCCACTTTTATGAGAAAATAAAATCACAAAAGGATAAGATGATACTTTACGTTGGCTCTAGGCAAGGCAAGGCAAAACCGTTAAGTTTATTTACATAGAACATTTTAGTGCATTTACTAAGGACTTTATTCTACATATCAATTTTTGACTAAAGGGCTGCACAGTGCATTCTATTCCAGGGTCTTTCTGCATGGAGTTTGCATGTTCTCCCTGAGCATGTGTGGGTTCTCTCCGGGTACTCCAGCTTCCTTCCACAACCCAAAAACATGCCTGTCAGGTTAATTGGCTTCTCTAAATTCTCCTTAGGTCAGTGTGTGCATGAATTTTTGTTCATCGCATTTGTCTCTGTTTTGCCCTGCGATGGACTGGAAACCAGTGACAAGTGTGACGAAAATGGATGGATTTTTGACTAAAGGTAAATGTTTTTAATATGTAATTTTTTTTTTTTTCACAGAATTGAATAAGAATTTCAATTACTTTTATGTGATCTAATAAAGCGTACAGTGGTTTTACAACAATGGCCTCTTTTACAAACCTTAGAAATAGTAAAAAAATGGAGATCCATCNAATTACTTTTATGTGATCTAATAAAGCGTACAGTGGTTTTACAACAATGGCCTCTTTTACAAACCTTAGAAATAGTAAAAAAATGGAGATCCATCTTTTAACGTAAAAGAAATTAACAAATAGCTTCTTATGTCTAAGTCTGGCTGCTCATTTAATTAATCTTCATGATTTTAAAATATAAACTTGAAGAAAAAGTAACTTTAAATCTATCTTTTTAATATCTATACATTTTCTTTAGGCAGAAATGCAAAGATTTGAATTTGGCTTTATAGAAAAGAATAATCGTATTAATCTGAACAAGAAGGTTTGGATTTCAGGGACCTCCATATTTTTCATTTATTTTCTAAGTTTCAGACAAATATACATTAAACAAAATAAGTTTCACTTAAATTGGTATTTATTAAATATATGATCAGTTGAAAATAAAAACAAGATTTAGGAAAATCGGGAATGTTGCAGAAATTAATTTGTTTTTTTCCTCCATGGTTACTCTCATCCACAAGAGGGCGCCACTAGTTCAACCTGGCAAAAGAAAATCCTTTGTCAGGAAAGTTTGTATGGAAGCAAATTGTTATATTTCAAATGAAAAAGCATTTTCAGAAATGCTTTTTCATTTG